ACTGTCTTGGAGCTTGACAAGGAACCACAAGATCCTCTCATTCTTGGGAGGCCATTTCTGAACACCGTATGAGCTATAATTGATGTGAGAAGAAGCAAGATCAGCTTGCAGATTGGAGACTACTCTTTGGAGTTTGACATGAGAGAGACGAGGAAAAATCCCACCATTGACGGTCAGGCATTTTCTATTGACACGAATGATGAATCTAGCGAAAAGTGTGTAAAGAAATGCAGTGGTTGGAGTGAGGTCAAAGAAGTCCTGGATGGAGACACTCACATTCCAATAAAGAAGATTGCTGCTAAGGATATAGTGAAGCAGAATAGGATCAAGGGAGATCCTCATATAGCTTTGATATCGTTGCGTTGTGTCGGGGATACCATTGAGTATAAGGTGCAATGTAAAGGGACCTCGAAACCTTTCTCCAAAGCTAGGAGCATTCTCACTTCTGAATGGAAAGAGAAGGGTAGAAAAGCTGTGAAGAGTGTGGTTGGTAAAGTTCTGAAGCTAAAGTTGAATGATTGGGGACCTTGTTTCGGAGTAAGCTCCCGCACTCGTACCCATTAGTCCACAAGAATCCGGTCAAGCTAGTGACATAAAACAAGCGCTTTGTGGGAGGCAACCCACCAGGTATTTCTTATTATCCTACCATTTCTTTATTTTTCTCTTGCTTTCTTTTGAGTGTGTATGGCATCTTTTCTTTGATTTGTTTTCACTCCGAGTCGGTGTGAAGCAAGTCGGGGGGAGGATGTCATTTGTTTACTAATCGAGTTTGCTTTGGTTGTTTCTTTTGTTGCTTTCGTTGAGTCTGTTTTATCGAGTCAAAATCGTATCTTTTATTGAGTCAAAATATTGTCTGAGACCTATGATCTTTTCTTAAGGAATTGCACTTTGTTTGATTTCATTGCCTTGGGACCATTTTAGCATTATTCGATAACTTGGAAGTTCAGGAAAATCCATGACTAGATTACTCTATAGTAGTCCCTATCTCTTTGAAATTCGGATGAATTGAGCTTTATCTTATATACTTGAACTTAATCTGGACTTAATTTATCTCACTTAGGGGCTTGAGAATCATGTAATGGATCATACATTCAGAGTTTTGTTCGCATCATTTTTATCACTCTTTGCTAACTCTGAATGGCTAGACTCATTTTTAGTCTAGTACCGCACCTGTTTCCCCACCCATTGTTTGAAACCTCATGCATTCTTATATGATCATCATGATATGCATCCATGTGCGAAAACTACGGAGTATACGGACCGACATAGCTTTCCTTTTGTTAGGATAGTGAGTTGTAGTTTACTGGTTGTCGATATGTGATGAGATTGAGCCATTGTGGTTTAGAGGTTATATTCATGGGTATATGCAGCTGTTTGCGATTGTTCTTGATGCAGATTTTTGTGAGACACCGGTTCCACTCCCCCGCTTCTATATATATAAAAAAAAAAAAAAAAAAAAAAAAAAAAAAAAAAAAAAACGAAAATAAAAAGAAAAAGCGGGAAAGGAGAGTGATTGGAACCGGAAATGTCGAGTTATTATTGGTTATATTGATAAGCATCAAGGGTACACTTTGATTTGATTGGGGGTAGTGTGTTGGTTGATTTGATCCGAGCTTAAGGGAAGCTATGTACCTCCTAGTTGGTCTGTGTCTCACTGTGATTTCGCATAATGTCATGCATCCGTTTATACTGTTCGAGAACCCAAAACACTTTGAGCCACCATATATTAGCCCTTTTTACCAAGCCCATAGCGTGTTCGATATCCCCTTTGTGAGAATACACGCCACTACTAATGAATGTTAAAAGGCTAAGTTATCTGACTCTGAAAGTTCTTTTAGATCTCGGGACTTAATTTTGTTGCTACGGTTATGGCGAAGTATAGTCTAGTACGGTTTGATGAGTTTGTGATAGTGGTTTGCAGGCAATTGATATGAGCATGATCCCGAAGAAAATGTGAGTTCTCGTGTTTTCAAACCTCTTCTCTTGATAAGGATTTCTGCTTTCCTTGAGGACAAGTAAAGATCTAAGTCGGGGGGAGTTGATATGTTGTGTTTTTATCGGTTTTGAGTCTTTGTTTTCTTTCCTAGATCATATATTTTAAAGAGTCAAAGTGTATTTTTAGAGTCTTTTAGTCTTTTATCGATTCTTTACAGGTTTTAGGTTGCTTCGGAGGAAAACGAGCTGTTTTGGGATATAAACACACATTTGGAGATGTAGTTTCGGTTAGAAGTATCAAACGTTTGGCCTCAGATGGAAGACTTCCCACCGTTAGATCTTTCTGAAATTTTGACACAAGCTAGATGAAGATGTTAGCTTGATTTTCCAAGTGGTTTGAAGGAAATCTAACGGTGCATTCAAGAGTTATACCCAAAGTAGTGAAGACAGGTCAATCTGGCGAGCATTTGAAGCAGGTGCAGAGCTTGACTCCAGGAGCTTCGGGATCGATCGATCATTAGATTCTTCGATTTATATGTTCTTAATGCTAGAATAGGATTGATCACCCTGTTGTAGATTCTAGGTTTTTCTATGCATCAAAAGTGTTCGATAGAATGCCTGAATGAATGTAAATTGAGCAATGTGTTTCTAACCAACGAAAGTTGACGTTAGAACGCATTGTGAACGAAATGAACCAACTTGTTAATGCGAATTTGATTAGGAAACTACATGCGAAAGTTTAGTAGTTGAGTAGTCGAATTTAGTGGCTAATGTCTTGAAAGAGAGTTAGTCTAGAATTGTGTTCATAGTTGAGAATGGTTCTTCATTTATGAATTCCTCGTTTCGTTTATCCCGCTAGCCATTGTCTTTTGAAATACCCTAATGCCCAATGCCTTTTAATCTTGAAGTTAAATCGTCTATTTTAATTGCATTTTTATTTACAATTCCGAAAACCCAAAACAAAAGAATCTTTTAGCTTTAGCTAAGAACGAGTCTCGGAAATCTTTAGTGTACCATTGGTTCTTGTGGATCGACCCCGTATATACTACCTTGCGGTTAAGTGTATCGGGTAATTACTCGAGCAATCACCACCATTAAAAAATCTTGTGTTCTCAACGTTTTTGCCTTTTTGGGACTTCTATTATTTTATTTTGAATAATATTAATTATCAATCAAAAATTTGAAAAATAGTTCACACATGTCCACTAGCGTAATTTGTTACAAAAAAAAAAATCATAAAAGATTCTTTTAAGACAACGATCCTACTTGGATTATAAAAGTTCCTTTTAAGACAACGATCCAGCTTGGATCATCTGCAAGACCCTTTATTTCCTATGCTCTAGTAGCAGAGGAACTTACTTTGGAAGTGGCGATCATCGCAACTTTAGCAATGAGTGTATCAAGGTTGGCCTGTTATCCGGATTGTCAAGAACTCATCCTTCTTCTCAATGCTGATGGCCTTGCAAATGAAGTCGACGGTCTCTGCGGATATCATATTTTTGAGGACAAAGCTTCTCTATCTTTCCTTTCATCTTGTAGTATCACTAGCTATGTCTGCAGTTGTTTCCTGTAACAGCTCCTCCTCATATAGAGTTTGAGCTATCTAATATAATTAACTAGATAAGGCCCGTCTAAATAGGAAGGTGTAAAAAATAAATATATATATATTTTTGATAATATTTGAATTATAAATAGTAATATACATTTTTATATATTTAATCTAATTTTATAACCAAATTTCAATCAGACACATTCTATTTTGCAATACAACTTAACTATTTATTTCATGATAATAAACCTTTTAATTTTATACACTTCATCTTAATGGATAAGAGCTAAAAAAATTAATTCTACATACTCCATTTTATTGTTATAAATTTTTTTCTGATATTGAAATTTTAAATAGAAATCCACACATTTTTCTATATTAATGTTCTAACTCTCATATGAATTTATCTATTCTATCTGAATACCCTTAAATCATGTAAGTTAATTTTTTTTTTGAAACTAAATTATTACTATTATGTGAATTAAACTAAATTATTACTATTACTCTCTCTCTCTCTCTCTCTCATCTCTGTTTTCATCCTCTAGCCTTGTGGTTTAGATGAAAGATTTGAAATTCAAGTAGAAAAATACTTTCATAATTAAATTATTGTTGTTTTCATGAAAATCTATGTTGTATCCACATGGTTTAAAGAGAAAGCATGATCGCCATATTCCGAGTAGAACTAATAAAAAAGATTTAGGGAGATTTCCACAAATAGCACCCAAAAGTTTTTTTTATTAAACATTAATTAAAAATAGAAAAAAAAAATACCCTAATTCTTCTCACTTCTTCGACGACCCGACTCTCGATCTTGCCTCCGACGATTTTTGATCTCACCCCGAACGATTTTCGATCTCGCCTCCGCCGGAATCTTGTGACCATTTCTTACCTCCCCGATTCCTCGCTGTTTCGCCTTTCTCACAAGCAACCTAATTGGACGTTTCCTTACTGTGTGAAGCTTTCCGAAGCTTCACTGGAAATAAAGCTCTCGTCGAAATTAAAGATCTCTCCGTCACCCATCGGAAAGAAATGAATGAATTGACTTTTTTTTTGTGTTTATTGTTTATTTATTAATTTTAAAAATAAAAAATAAGGTACTTCATTTGAATTCTATTTTTATTAAATAAACTTTTGAGTGCTATTTTTATCCCAAAAACTTGATTTGGAACTATAAGAGACCCTTTCTCAAAGATTTTGGTCATGAAAGTAGTCTAAACCATCATTAAAAAATTTTGTGTTCTCAACGTTTTTAGGACTTCTATTATTTTATGTTAAATAATATTATTCATCAATCAAAATTTTGAAATTTTCTACTCACAAGTCATCGCACATTTTCTTTATTTTCGTTCTTTTTTTGTAAAAACAAATAAATTATCCAAATTAGTTTTCAAAATGCACTTAAATTGTATTAGGCTGCAGATAACTATTAAAAAGATCATCGATCCATGAGAAAAGTCTCTAATAATTACAACCCCAAATCAATTGGGCCTTTGGTGGCTAAACATAATTGGGCCTATGTGACTAATACGCACGTGGAGAGAATCAGTCGTCTTCTTCGTTTGGATCTCGTTTTATGAAACCACCGGAAGAACCCACCGGAAGCTTCACCGGCGCTTCAGTGCTTGCTTCTATCGTCGACTATTAGAACCAGAATACGACAAAAACAAATTGTGAGCTGCGTTTGACTCAATCAGAGAGAAGTCATGAACACTCACAATAATCGATACGCAAAATGGAAACAGAGAGAGCTTGTTCTTATACTCTTATACGCCATCGCTTTCTACACTTATGTCGTATGGAGATCGATTCGTCTCTCCCACGGTAACTTGCACAAATCAATCAATTTCTAAGTAAATCTCTAGAATCTGAGTCATGTGATTGTGATTTGGTTGATTGAATTTTAGATCATTACTTCAAGCTCCATGGTTTAGCTCCTGGCTGGCTCATTCCTAATCGACGCAATGTAATGTGTGATTCCTTAAATTTTCATTTTTTTTCTAAGTATTCTGATTACTTTTGAAGCTTATAATCTGTATTTGGTTGTAGGATGTTTCTGATGCTCAATGGAGGAATTTTCGTGGAAATTTGCCGATTCTTAGCTTTGTTTTCGCGGTTTTCACTGTGATTGCAAATGGGTTTAGGTCTTTTTTCCACTTGAAAGCTAAAGGAATGGCTATCTTGTGGCTTTCGATGTCGTTTATATACTTGATATACTTACATGGAGCTTGGTAATGCTGATTCCATCTCTCTTTTTTGCTTCCTAGCATCACTATTGTTTGTTTCTTGAGTTTTTCTGTATCTAAGCTGAGTTGTCTTCCGCATTCTCTTCCAGCGTCATTTACATTCTCTCGATTGCAACAGCCAACTTCCTTCTTGTTAAGGTATGTTCCCTCGACCATTCCTAGGATTCACCTCTTAAAATTTTAACCTTGGCTAATCGGTAGTCTGGATTGTAGGAATGTATAGAATGAAGTGTTAAATCCTGTCTCAGCTTCTTGTGGCATATATGCTTCAACTTTTCGGATTGAGCTTTTTAAGCTGATCAGAGTTCACTAGATTTATATTAATGCAGGTTTTTGCACGGACCAAATACTTTCCTTTCATGCTTTGGACGTTCAACATATTTTTTCTCTTCTGCAATCGCATTTATGAAGGATATTCGTTCTCCATTTTCGGGTGAGTCATGTACATCTCATATTTGACTTATTGTTGGAGTAATTGTATCGTGATGGTTGCTGTAAAGACTTAATGCTTTGATTATCTCTCTCTTTTTCCAAGGCAACAGTTTGAATTCCTGGACAACTTTAGGGGCACATTTAGATGGCATATATGCTTCAATTTTGGTAATGTTTTATCCAGTTACCCTTGACTGCAATTTTCTTTCTATGTTGACTGCAGTATGTTGCTCACTTATAATTTTGTTGCAGTTGTTCTGCGCATGATAAGTTTTGGATACGATTATCACTGGAGCCAACTGGATTCTCATTTTGATCAAGAGGTGTGTTGTTGCCTTTCATGATGCGGCTTTTCTACACGATTTTGTAGTGATATGTATTTTCTTCCTATGTAACACTCTGGTTCTTTCTGATATCGTTTACCGTAGTCTCTCAGTAGTTTTGGAATAGGTGTTCATGGAAATTTAAATTTAGCATTTTGTTCGAGAATTAAAATATCATCCACAAAATCATGTCCAGATATGTTCTCTTGGTATATTCTTAATTGCTTATTAATTTTTCTAAGTTTTATATCTTCTAATATTTTTCCTGCGTATGTGTACTGTTTCCTTGATCAACGATGGACAGAAACACGTAGCGCGCTGTTCCTTATGTAAATTGGGGAAGACTTGCTACGTAGTGCGACAGGTTGTCTGCGTGGCACCAACAATTCACTTCTATTATTAATGTTGTTTTGCTATTGCATTACTTGTTTCTAACGTTGTGTAACTTATTAGGAGAGAGGTCTAGCAAGTGATAGCTGCAGTTTTTCTCTATACCTTTGTTATTTGGTGTATGCACCCTTATACCTAGCGGGGCCAATCATAAGCTTTAATGCATTTGCTTCTCAGGTCTGCGGTTCTCGTCATGCCTTCACTTTTTTTTAACTTTCATACTTTGTTTGTTCTTAAGATCCCAAATCTGGTTCTCTTGAATAACATTCCATTTACTATATAGTTAAGAGATCATAAAGAATCAGCACCTTTGTTTTTCGTAATGGGTCTTGTCTTCATGATCTCTCACTAGAAGCTTATATTTTCACAGCTAGATATGCCACAGAATACTCATTCATTCAAAGATGTTGCTTGGTATGGAGTGCGCTGGTTATTCAGCTTCTTGCTGATTGAACTTATGACACATTTGTTTTATTACAATGCCTTTGTGATCAGGTGAAACTCTTTCAGGACTAGGATAATAATAAGACTTATTTTCCTAAAAAGCTCTTAATTATACAAGATGCTAACTTCTTTGCATTTGTGACAGTGGTCTGTGGAGAGAACTATCTCCTGTGGAGATATTTATTGTTGGATATGGGGTAAGACATTATTGATATCGGTATTGTTATGTTTTCGTTTAGCAGAACAAACTACTTTTCACTAGACAATCTAATATTAGCTCAAGAGGCTCTTGGAAAATTTAGCTGTCTGTTTAACCAGAATACCTGAAACTGATCCGTAGTGCTATTTGTACTGCTGCAGGTGCTAAACTTCATGTGGCTTAAGTTCCTTCTTTTATGGAGATATTTCCGCTTTTGGTCTCTGGTATGCCCCTTCAAAGTCTTGAAATCGTTTTAGTATTCTATGATCGTTTGGTGGAACAAAAGTTCTAGCTGTCGTTGGGTAGTTAACTTAGTCCTTTGTACTGATGACGTTCTGGTCTATGAATTTTCAATAACAAGCGATTTTCAAATTGTTGCTACTTTCATGGCTACATGCTAGAAATTCCGAGAAATATTGCCGGATAAAAAATTAGTATGTGGTTCTGATATGTAATAATGTAAACATTTTCTTTAGGTGAATGGCATTGAAACTGTTGAGAACATGCCGAATTGCATTAACAATTGCTATAGCCTGGAATCATTCTGGAAAACCTGGCATGCCTCATTTAATAGGTGGCTTATCAGGTGAGTATATTTAACACTAAACTCCTGGTTTCAACTTGAAGCGTCGCTACATCAAATCTTTTAATGTAAGCTCTTAAATAGTAAGTTAACATCTTCCTTTAGGTATATGTATATTCCTCTAGGTGGATCACGAAGAAAGTTTCTGAATGTGTGGGTTGTATTTACATTTGTTGCCATGTGGCACGATTTGGAATGGTAATCCGTTGCCTTCCTATGATTTCTTTGCGTTTATGAACTATGCTACCAACTTCTCATGTGGTTGGCTGTTTCGTTTGCAATCAGGAAGCTTCTTTCATGGGCATGGTTAACATGTTTATTCTTCATGCCAGAAATGTTACTGAAATCAGCATCCAATGCATATAAGGTCAGTTAAACAATGATTGAAGCCTCATAAGTTCCAAGTCTTTACCATGCAACATTCGAAGAATAAATTTGACATAAATTATCGTACATTATTATGATGGTAGAGACTGGAGACAATGTGTCTGACTGGCACATGATATGTTTTGGAACCCGTCTTCACTCTTGGGAGCCTATTAGTATATTTTGTCCTAAGAAAAATAAAACCTCCATACTGTTGCAGGTTGAGAGTGCTTTTGGAGAATTTATCCTTCGTGAACTCAAGGCGTTGTCTGGTGCCGTCACAATCACATGCCTCATGGTAAAATTGCTTTTGCTGAATATTCTTAGTCCCATTGGTGTTGTCGCCTTCATGCTGATAAATTTGCTTTGAGTTCCTCAATTGCAGATTGCAAATCTTGCTGGCTATGTCATTGGACCATCAGGTATAAACTGGATGGTCTCCAGCTTTCTTAAAAGAGAAGGTATATAGAAACCCTACGGTTATCAGTCTTCATTTTAACGTTCTTTATCAGATGTTCTGATTCAATAATGTTCATACATTTGATATCGTAGGAGTACCTGTTCTGGGCGGCGTGTTCTTTAGCTTGTATGTGGGTACAAAGGTAGTGCTTTCGATTTTCTGTTATGCTAAATGTTTAGTTTCCGTTTCTCTTACAACTTTAAATGTTGTTTGAATGCTCCCAACTCTCCTTTCTTTATTTTGCAGCTGATGTTCCACATCCAAGACTTGAGAAGTCGGGTTCATAGCCCGAAGTAGCTGATGCAAAGAGTTGTAGTCTCCTCAGTTATAATCAAGTAATTTCATTATGGTTACATTTTGTATAAAGTTTTGGTCGGGCTAACTGAGTTTGTCCTTGCTGGAAGAATCAATATGAAATTAACTTTTGCAAAGGCTTTTGGATGGATGATCACAGACCACCTGCAGTTGATAACAGCAAAATGAATGCTTTTGAAAGGTATCTGGTAAATGAATGACAATTCCTGCATCCCTATCATAACCAGTTTGTGCTCGAATCCTCTGGCGTGGACGCAGCCAGATTGTCCTCGATGGTTGGACCCTATGAATTTGATTTCCTATTCCAGTCCAGCTCCTTACTGGTACTGTCTGCATTCCTTAGATTCTTTTCAGCCGTAATTTCGTAAAGTATATATTGTGGCACCAATCAAATTCATCATCATCACTTCCATTTCCTCGTATATCTGGGGTTACGCAAGAATCAAGCAGAATTTACAAAGGACAGGATCTTCCTTATCTTAACTGTGAAGGCTGGAACAACCAGGTGGTGTGGTGGTATTCGCCATTCGGTATAGCCTTGTCAAAACCATCTCCCCCAAAGAAAGCACATCTAAAGTTTCGGATTGCATCGATGTATCATCAAGATTTGCAACGTTTGGTGTACATATGCTACTCATGGTATCACAGGCTATTCTGTGTAGCTGAGGACTCATGTTCAAGGCACCCATGTGATGGCAAGACGTCAACGATGCAACAAGTGTGTAAGTACCGAAGACACCAACTCTCTTTATGCGTCCATAGGCCACTTAAGATCGGTTTGGGTAGGTCATTGGTGCAAGCAACATAATATAGTTTTTGAGGTGAAAGAGTGAAGGTGAAGATGTAAAGAAATAAAGCAAGAAGAGAATAGAGATCAAGTTCCATTACCGGCTTTGATAGGTTTAGGTGCGATTGAGACCATTGAAGAAACCCATCAATGTCACAAATTTGTCCCTTCCCAACCCAACAAAAACAGGTTGAGACAAGACACTGGAGGATTAAGACACACCTCTACTTTTTAATCATGTGGCTCTGAATAGAAATTCTAGGTCTCTTAGACGTAAGGGAATTGTATAAAGTGATGCTAGTGACGATGTTAACACCTAGAAAATGATTGTCATAGGAAGATACACGAAATAAGTAACAAGTGTCCGTCCAAACAATATAATCACCAGTAAGGACAAAAATGTGGCAGCTCCATAAGAATCTAAACTTCATTTTTCTTATCTTAACGATTGGTTTTAGTTTAAAGGCTACAAAATAGAATTTGTATGTGTGTGAAAGGAATAGACTTTTGGTCAGCTCTAAAATAATTGCAATCTGTCTGCAACATTCTGCGATCTGATCTAAGTTAAACCAAAATTATATTTTACTTTGGCTAAGATCTTGATCTGGAATCTTTTTGTCAAAGGCTACTTAACTATCTCAGTTAAATCTCCTTAGTCTTGTAATAAATATTAAATATAACGTCTTAGTAATTAATGCTCTCTCTCTATCTCCATATAAACCAAGTTTTATGATCAAGTCTAAACACATCCATGATCAAGAAGTGACAAATGAAGAAGCTTCTATGGATTGGGCTCATTCTCTTAAACATCCATGTAAATGGGATGATGATGGAGTTTGATGATATGGAGTGGTACACAGATTTCAATGGAACAAAGATGTTTGATACAGAAAATGATGTTTTTTCTGAAGCTAAGTTTCCTATGGTTGGACTCACTCTGATTCAATCTGCTGCTGCTAAAGGAGCTGGTAACATCTTCTTCTTTATACATTTCCTTCGGATAATATATGTTTCTTGTTACACAATTTTCGATTTTCTTGCAGTTTGTTTAGATGGAAGTCTTCCCGGATATCACTTGCATCGCGGGTTTGGTTCAGGAGCAAGCAATTGGCTTGTTCAATTGGAGGTTTTGTGCAGTTAAAATATTCTCTGGTAATATAGATATGACAATTTTTAGTCAGTGACATGATGGTTTTATGTTTTGACAGGGAGGTGGATGGTGTGATACCGTTAGAAATTGTGTATACCGTAAAACCAGTCGTCGTGGATCTTCTTCATATATGGAGAAAGAGATACCATTTACCGGCATTCTAAGTAATCAAGCCGCGGAAAATCCAGGTTTTTCTCTAAAGCTCCTCTGTCTTATATATAAAAATCACTCCATATAATGTTTATCTCCTTGTGAATATTTGTTTTTGCAGACTTTTATAACTGGAATAGAGTAAAAGTTCGGTATTGTGACGGTGGATCGTTTAGCGGGGACAGCGAAAATAAGGTTAGCATTTGCATTGAATTTGAAAACTTGCTTGTGTTCAGAGTTAAATTGATTGTTTATTTGAAAATTTTGCTACAAATTAGGCAGCACAACTTCAGTTTAGAGGAATGAGAATATGGTTAGCTGCTATGGAAGATTTGATGGCAAAAGGAATGCGTCAAGCTAAGCAGGCTCTACTCTCTGGATGTTCTGCTGGAGGTCTTGCGGTGATTTTACGATGTGATGATTTCGGGAAATTGTTTCCTCCTTCCACCAGAGTGAAATGTCTGAGTGACGCTGGTTTCTTCCTCGATGCGTAAGTGATTTCCTAGTTTCCTTGAATAACAAGTATCAGTCATGACTTTGGTATACATATTGACTAGTTTTGTGATTTCTGTAACTGAAGCATCGATGTGTCTGGAGGTCGATCTCTTAGGCGGTTATACGCCGGTGTGGTCAAATTACAGGTTAGTACACATAATGTTGCAATGTGTTATACTTCGGTGCAAGAATACTAATTGAGATTTGTGTAATGTTTCTATAGAATCTGCAAACCAAGCTTCCTCAGGATTGTGTGAACCGTCTTAATCCAACTTCGGTATATATTCTTAACTTCAAAACCAAATAACAAGATGTAGTGAGCTAAATCTCCTCACAAGTGTACTCAATATATTGCAGTGTTTTTTCCCACAAAACTTAATCAACCAAGTCAAGACTCCACTTTTTATTCTAAATGCTGCATATGATTCATGGCAGGTAAGTTATTTCTCTTCCTGATCCTTAGCTTTATTATCAAGATTGTGTGCTTAATACATTTTGTTATTTGTGCAGATCCAAGAGAGTTTAGCTCCAAAATCCGCAGATCCAAGTGGAAGTTGGAATGATTGTAGACTTAACTACGCCAAGTGCACTGCATCTCAGATCCAATTCTTGCAAGGTGAATTAATAGCTAATAATGATGTTCTTGATTTTGAATAAACAAACTAACTAATGTTTTTGAAATGTGTTACAGGTTTTAGGACGCATATGGTGAATTTGGTAAAGGGTTTTGCGATGCCAAGTAAGAACGGTGTGTTCCTCAATTCGTGCTTTGCTCATTGCCAAACAGAGAGGCATGACACATGGTTCGCCAAAAACTCTCCTGCGGTTAAGAACAAGGTAGGGGAAAAATAATGACGAAGTTTTGTTACGAATTGTATACGACTTAACAGGTTACATTTAGTAGATAATCACTAACAATTTTTATCAAATTATGCGGAGTTTTAATTATTATTTTGATGTTTGTATAAACCAAAACAGGGTATAGCAGTAGCTGTGGGAGATTGGTATTTCGAAAGAGGAGGAGCAAAGCTCATAGACTGTGCTTATCCTTGTGACAAGACTTGTCACAATTTGGTCTTTAGATGATAAACTTAGTTTTTCTTTGGTATCAAAATTTTTATTTTTTTAAAGAAGCATCCATTTATTCAGGCAACACAATGAAATAAAATAAAACCCATTTGATAACTATACCTACATTTCTCTGTTTTGTAAATTGGATGTCACATTCTGTTTTGAATCAAACTGTGAAATCATATTGTAAATTAGTGGTAAAATTATGAAGAATGAGCTTCTTTCGCCTTATATAAGGGCATTTTTATTCTACACGAATATATCATTTTAAGGTTGTAACAACACCAACTGTCTCCTTAATTCCTGATGTTTGGATCTACATGACTTAACATGGCATCATAAATATAGAAAATAGTAAAATATAAACACAATCAATACTTAAAAAAAAAAATTTGGTAAAAAGTGAGATGATTACTTAGAATAGAACCTGCCTTCATGAATCATGGGCTCCAAGCACCAAAAGATATTGGTCCAACGAGAAGTTAGAACCCTCCACCTCTTAATCTTTGATACCAAACATATCCATAATCAGATTTTATAATTTTGAGTTTGTAGAAGTAGTCAGAACAAGCCGACATGTATCTTTAACAAGTCTCTATCGAACGAGCAACCGAAAAAAAACATCAAAAAAGCTTTTGATGAAGCTTTCACATTTTTCCTCTATGCACGTCTTATTCTTCTTTCAAGTTCATTCTCTGCGACCAAAACGTGAAACTCTGATCCAAGCATGTCATATACGTCAATATTCTCAGCGTTGCTTAAGTTAAAAGTTTCCATAATCACTTCTAGAGTCATGGTGAAGCCTAGATTAGACAAAACTCGTATCGCATTCCCGATTCTGAGAATGCTTTGTCGAGTCTCAAGTGAAGTATGTTTGATCATCTCATCATCCAAAATCATATGATCTTGTGCTTGGACGTGTTCCCCAACCCAAATAAAGCCATTGCGGCCGATAATCAAATCGATCCCAAGACTTTCTATGTAATGAAAGTGAATGTTGCTTCTCTTAACCAAGTAAGGATCAACCATCAGATGTTGTCCCTTTTCAAGCTGTATAAGCGATTTATGTATTAATCATATTGTTTATAGAAGAAGAGACTGGAAAAAATTGTATAACTTAAGACTATGTTCCAGATCATATCACCAACCTTGCCATATTTGTAACTTGTAGCTCGTAGCTCCAAACCGCCATCGCGGTGAATACATCCTACTTCGGCCTAGAGTTGGTCCAAAACAAAGGAATCAGGTCATGTGTTCAAAGATGAATATATTTAGATATATGGACCACATGACTTACACAAACGACATCATCTTCTACAATGATATTCCGCATATTGAGTTCATCCACATACGTTTTACGCCTCTACCAAAACAGAAAAACATATATCATTGAACCCAACAGACAATGTGATTTTGAAAGATACCAAAAAATTGGGGAATCAAATTATAACCTGAACATCATTATCCATAGAAGAAAGCTTCAAAATTCCATCTTTAGTAGAGTTGAGCTCCAATCTCCAACAGCTTTTTGAGACCTAAATAAGAAGATCCAATGATCAGAAACCCTTGTTGCTATACTCTCTCAATCTGATTTCAAAACCCTAATCACCTATTACAAAACTTTACCTCGATGACACGTCCTACCACAATATCTTTAACCTCAGGCTTGTACCTGGCTCGCAAGGTACGTATATAGACGAGCTTGTCCACGTGAGTCACAACTCCACAGACCGTCGCCATCAACTCACCATCGACCTCGGAAGTTCCGTGTCCCCTTTATTCAAAACAAAATCAAAACCATGAAAAATAAAATTCAATCTAGAAAACAGAGAAGCTGAAAAAGAACGAGATTACTTAAGGAGGAAGGCATCTTCGTGAATGGAGTCGGCGACGATAACAGAGTTGTTTGTTGTCGATGATAAGAATTGTAGCCGCTCCATAGCTCTCTTAAACCTGACCTTTTGCGTCTGGTTCAATGGTAGCTCTAGCTGAAGCTTTCTCATCACCATTACAAGACTCTTTCTCCCTTAATCTATAAGCACCACCAAACAATGTCGATTATAAATTTGAGAAGAGCAAAAAAAACACTAAGATATTCACGAACGTTAGGGTTTTAGGTTGAGAAATGTATTGTGAGAGATGGGGACTATTATGCAATTAGTAAATAACCGACGCCCCTAATTAAATATCCAGGTTTAATCGTGTAATCGTATTTGTATATAACTTAATCAAAACAGAGATTAACCTAACTTTTTAGGTCTTTTGATCCTCTGCTTTTGATTTCCTATCTTCTCTTTGACCTTAGTATATTCGTGTAAGGGGATTAGTGATGGATAGATAAAAGTGTGTTCACTGATTAGTTTCTCGCTAATGGAGAAAGATTTTACATACTGTTTAGTGTTTGCTAACCGGAGAGATAAACCGAAATACATAAATGAAACTAAATCGGAGGTTAAAGACATTAAACCAAATTATTGATTCAGGTTTTGTAGTAGATTGAAACTCGTATGAAGAGCTTTTCCTGTCACAATTCGATCATCCTGTCGATATACATTTCTTAGAAGTTAGAACTATGACGAAAGAATCCGGTACTAAGAATGGTTGTCCTTGTAACCATATTTCATTGAACCGGGTTCATCCGAAATTTATTTTGCCGGTTCAATAACATCAATTTAGCGTTTGGTTAGTGAAAGAAGAAAAAAAAACATACAACAACACATATGTGATATGTTCATTCACCAAAAGATACATGTTCCACACATGATACGGATTTGCCGGTTCAATAACATCAATTTAGCGTTTGGTTAGTGAAAGAAGAAAAAAAAACATAAAACAACACATATGTGATATGTTAATTCACCAAAAGATACATGTTCCACACATGATACGGATTTGTCTACTCCTTTTTTGGCACGTACAATACAAAAAACAACTTGGACAAAAGTAACACATTAGTTTCGTTTCTTCTTCAACCAATCTTTCCCTAAGCTGCTTTCCATTTTTATAAGATGAGATTCCATCAAGCAGTCCAATAATAGAGTTTATAGAGGAGATTTGTTTACCATCACAAGCCAATATCTCTTAATTCCCCCTCTTTGTCATCAAGTCCTATCACCGAAGACGACGACGGTTTAAACTGATAAAAGTCTATAGCATAAGTGCACCACCTTGGAATCGAACCTATGACTTCCCACTTATTAGCTCTCAGGTCGTACCCACGAAGCACTTGCTTGTAATCGTCCTTCTTCAACATTGTCTCCTTCAACACTAAACACTTTCCATCGTAAGCCTCTAGGCCCCAACTATATAACCTCTTCTCGTCCAGTATTCCGTTCCGGATTTTCTTCACGAGGACCCACTTGGGATCATTAAGAATGTTCTCGAGTGCATAAACGTAAACAAATTCTTCCGTCGCCGATATCAAGGTTAAATTATTATCTGCGGCTGTGAACAACGTTTTAACACAAAGTTCTTTGGGGAATCTGATCGGAATCAGTCGTGCTTTCTCTGTTTTAGGGTTGAAAGCTACGATAGATCCGTCATTTCTTAGCCAGTGAAGAGCTCCCTTCATATAAACAGGTTTTTTCATACGGTCATCAAGATTACTTGTACAGCAAGTAAACGTTGTTTCTGATAATTTCCATGAATCTCCTCTGTTAATCTCAAACTCATACGTTGTTTCATTGCCATTTCTCACCTCGTTTATGACGACGATTTTGAAACTCTGGGTTGTTCGATCAATCTGATCAACGGCGAACCCGATGACTTGTTGACGATCTTGTCGAAGAGTAGTGAACCCAGGGCAAAACTTTGACCTCGAGTGATTGAATAATCGAAACATCTTTGTGAGAGGATTTACGACGCAGAGCATTTTATTAAGGAAGAGTAGAAGAAGGCCAGAACAATAGCCTAAAATGTGACTCCTTGTTAAGGTTTCTACTATTCTCGGTGACCTAGAATCACCGTAAAGGTGGTAGTAGAGCAGAGAGGAGCCATAGGTATGTATGTATATCAAACAGGATCCGACCCGACAAAGGTATTCAGATTCAGATATATAAGTTCGAAGAGATCTATTTGTGCATTGCATCATGGCCAGAGATCTGTGGTCTATTCTGAAGAGAATCTCGTCGAGGAGATGATGAGGTAAGCTATCCATGACAGGAGAAATTAGGGTTTTTGCTTACTTCTTTTGATGTCATTTTCTGTGAGTTTTTGTAATGATTCATTTATAGACGTAATCAAGGAAACAGATTGGGCAAAGATGTCCCACTAATTATCATGTATTATAATTTGTTTTCTCTCTTTTTAGGTCTCTATATCAATCATTAAAAAGTATGAGCCACATAATTATTAGAGGAGGTGTATTGGAACAATGATTTTGGATAATTTTTGGTTTTTGTTTTGTTTGTTAAAATCTTCAATTAGTGATTCTAAAATCTCTTCCTAAATTCCATGTTATTGAAACTGAAATTTATGTGAAATCATTACAAATAATTCTAAATCAATCATTTTTCAATAAATATAAAAAACATATCAATCCACTGTTATTCAAACTTTATCATAAAGTTTTCCCCAAAAAGTAGAAAATTGATTTGGAAAATCTTTAAATATCTTTTAGTACAAAACAAAAACAAAACAATCTCACATCTAGATGTGGTATTTGATTAATCTTTTGATTATGTTTGCAACATTAACATAACTAAGAAAAAAATCAATTGAAATTTTATTAATTATTCAATAAATATTATATGAATATTAAATTTCAATAGATTGTGAAATAAATTAATATAAAGGGAAAAAGATTCATTATTAAAATTAAAATAAAACTAATAAAAGTAGGAATATGTGATTGGTTTTTAATAGGATTTCTAAATATATTACTTATAATGTAAAAGTAAGAAAATTTATTAAATAGAACCTCTAATAAAAATATTTTAAATTGTAAGAAAGTTAGAATTTTATTCAAGATAGAAAAAAGGAGAATATCAATATTTATTTGCATGTGATAACAAATGCAAGATCGTAGAATTATGTTTGATTGAGTTTGATTAGAAGTCGTAGGAGATTTCATTAAAAATATGTTTTTGATTTAAAGTAATACATGTTAGACCGAACTTATTGTTTAGTGCCTTGTTTAAATCACATAAATCTAAAGGACCGGGGTATTATTACTTACAGTAATTTTAATGTTTATATAATTTAATTAATTTTCAAAAAATCTGTTGTTTAGTGATTTCTAACAATAGTCGTTTTCTATACCTTTTGTTTTGTCTGTTAACTGATTATAGGTCTGAATTCTGAATAACGGTGAAAGAAGTGACTTTGGACCACACTGTGTTCCAGGAAATAGGTTTCTTAAATTAGTAATGCATGCATTTGCATTCTTCTTTCTCCTTTAATATATTATGCAAATACATAACTTTGATTTGTCGACAGCATCATGATCTTTTCAACAAAAGGTTTGCATAAAAAAAAATTTGATATCAAACTAAAAATTAAAGGGTCTGACCAAAAGAAAATGCCATTCTCTGAAGATCCTTGGGGAACACGTCACAAGCTTGGCTTTGGCTCCAAGGAAAGGCAATGTTGGAGTTGAAATCCATCTCTGATTTAACATAAACTGGGCTAGAGAATAACGATTCGTTTAGGTACTCGTCGGACCATTTCATTTCTTCCAAACCGGGATTGTCACGGTGGCTCGTGGTTCGACAGTTTGTTTCCCAATTAGGCTCTGTCACTTTTACATGATCTATAGTGCTTGAAGTGTTGCCTGGAGGAGGAAGAAGAATAATCGAGGGTTTCACGCATACCTGTGTCTCAAAACGCGCTTTTGAGACAGAACCATCGATGTTGATGTTGAATTGCGTAGGGATCATGGAAGAGAGCGAATTGTCGAGTGAAACAGAGTTGGATTCTTGCTTCTGAAACGCAGAATACTTGGAAAAATCAGACGTTTGCTTGACAAAGAAGTCTTGGTTAGTTTTTGAGGAGAAACTTGTGGAATTGTGGTTGTCGCTTATGTTTGTCTCTTTATCAACCTCGGAGAGAGGTTGATGTGTAATAGGGTCAATGCCTTTCTTCATCAGCTTCTTCTTAATGCAAGAATTCCAAAGGTTCTTGATCTCGTTATCGGTTCTCCCGGGAAGCCTCGCAGCAATTTGTGACCATCTGATACAAAACAGGGAATTTCAGAAAATACTCTGTTTCAGAAACAGAGCATAATTGTGATTATTACCTGTTTCCAAGAACAGCATGAAGCTCGACAATGAGATTCTGTTCCTCTGAAGAGAAAGCTCCTCTTTTTAAATCAGGTCTTAAGTAATTGATCCACCTGAGTCTACAGCTCTTTCCACATCTCTCGAGACCTATAGATTGAGACAAATCTGGTTCTGTAAATGATTAGAGGAAGAAAAACACAATTTTACGCCTTTTTCGAAGAAGAGAGAGTTTTACCTGCGAGTTTAGGGACAGAACTCCAGCAACCATGGCCATTTTTAGTGATGTAATTGAGAAGCTTCTCGTCTTCTTCAGGCGACCAGAGACCTTTTCTCAGGTTTTGTTTGTAACCACAAGAATGTCTCTTCATGTTGCAATGCTGTGGAAAGGTTCACAATGAAGAACAACCCTGTTTTTTTGGTTATGTATTGATGAAAGAGGAAGATTAATAGATTGAGAAAAAGTTTGAGAAAATGAAGTAAGAGATGTGCAGAGACTAATACATAAATAGAGGCTATAGAACCGACGAAAAAGAAAAAAGGAAACAAAGTCATTTTCATAAGAAGACTTTTGTTGAATTTTGAGTTTTCTTTTTCTGTATTTCACTTTCAGAGAAAAGAGACAATATAATGTGCTTAGCTGGGACCAAAGACTACTCATGGTTAAGTCATGAGACTCGTGTCTTTTATTGTGTGTGTATGTGGAAACTATACAAACTAATCTTGTTTTCATTATACTTTATTCAACTAGGTTTCAATTTAACTATAGGTGCTATTAGAAAGTAACTAGTTTGAGAAAATGAAAAATACATTGTATATTGGACTTCTTGTTTTGACAACCGGTCATGTCACCCAATTAATTGTAGTGGAGTTGTTCATTTTCATTAGTCGACTATGCAAAATTTTCTCTTTTCGATTTGGTTTAGGATTACTCGTTTCGTCCTAAAAATCGATAAAAGAGTTCGACAAATTTTATCGATACTTATTGCGAGTTTGAGGTTTATTAGTTTCAAAGAGATTTATGATGATGATTAGGGTTTAGAATATTTGAACTTTGAACTTAGGTTTATTAGTTTTGACGAGATTTATTAGGACAGAATGATCTATTTCATAAATTATAATCTACAAGTTTCCATTTAGAAAATTTCTCTAAATTTGAATTTTTTGACCCGCCATGTTAACTAGAGTGAGCAATTTAAAGTGTATTTGAACTTGTACCTTCAGATGGTGGTTGAAATACAATTGTTTCAAACTTTATTTCTCTTGGTTATAACTTATAAGTTGTTTATGGATTGTTCTTGTTATTATCCTAGTAAATATATTCCTCACTCTCAAATAAATAAATAAATTATTTTTTATTTTAAATAATTGAGCATTTGACGAGGGAATTTCTTGTACAGTGTCTTGTTCATGCAGGAACTACCAAGAATTATGAAGTAGGTAGACAATTTATGTTCGTTAATCGGTTAACAAAAAAAATTATGTTGGTTAAAATAAATATGTATCAACAAGACATGTCCCATAATCAAACACAAATACACAATAAATAATAGGGCTACTTGATTCTATTGTATGATTATCATGTAACGAAGCTACCGATAAGGTACTTCGGATTAAATAATTCATCAAATGATTGACCTATATTGGAAAATAATATAATACTCCTTCCGTTCTTTTATAAGTGATATTTTAGGAGAATGCACATAGATTAAGAAATTATTTAATTTTTGTTTATTTCTAAACTAAAACATCATTTATTATCTAATCAACCAATAAAAAAACAATATATAGAATAGAAATTGTCAAAACCAATTAAAAAGTAATTAATTTTGTATTGAAATTTGAAAACATCATCTATATATGAACAAAAACAAAAGCTTAAAACATCACTTATTATAGAACGGAGGGAGTATATGGAAAAGACTTTCGTAATTTAACTAATTGTGTATATAGAGAAAACACTACTTAATTGATATTGTCAACTGTTTTAATAATAAGATTAAAGACTTCAAAATATTAGTGGATGTTATACTTTTTTTTTTTTTCTTTTTTTTTTATCCACAAAGTTTGGGATCAAAGTCCGTAGATTTCCATGGACCAAAGTGATTAAATTAGCCTCTTCCCAATGAAACTTGAACTAGAGGGCTCTAGATTTTTCCGAAAAACGTTAGCCAAACTCTCTCGGGCACCATTATCGAGGGCCATTTTCTGATCATGTTTTCCGACGCCGATGGAGTCTTTGCTCGCCGGCGTCGGGATATCTCAAATCAATTCGCTCTCTCTTGTCTTTACATCACTTTTTCAATCCTTTTGTTTTCTTTTCATCATCTTCCCGACCATCACTGCGCTCTTCCTTTGATTTTGTTAACGGTGGTCGGAGACCCTTTAATAATTTTTTCCAAAGCTTTATCACTATATCGTTCTAACCCGCTGGTGGCTTTGGACGAATCTTACTCCGCCTTGATGTTGGTGAGATCCTTAAAATCCAAACCTGCAGCACCTTTTTCCAAATGGTACCGCAAGTCGCCGGTCTTGACTGCTCCGGTGCCACAACCTCCGGCGATGCGTCATTCCATTCTGATTATCATCTCGCCGATGTCCAGCCGCCATAGTCACAACATCATCAACGCAGCCAAAGAGATACTAGGGTTTTTGTTATTGGGCCTTTCCCAATTCGGCCCATGGTGTTTTCTCTCTTGGACCACTTGTAGAAGTGACAGCCTAACTCAACTTTCCACTAAGCCCACGTTTTGCCTAAACTCTCATTTGTGCTTTCTCTGCAAACGTTTGTGTCGATCTAAGGAACCATTTGTTAGAGGACATCGATTGGAACCTAATCAAACATCGCTTCATTGTTGGTACAAACCTTCTCTGAGAACCTGGCCATTAAAATCACTTAAGCGGATTACTTATGGTTTTAGCTACCTTTATCGAGGTCAGATGAAAGGATTGAGGAAGAACGGCATTATGATCCCGTCTCCAAGGAGCGGTGATTACCGCAGCTTCCTCAACCTCCTACCTCCGTACCCCCTGTTCATCGAGTTCATTCATGTGCAATCTATCAATTTCAGTGATAACTTTCATATGCTCAAAAACATGAAGCTCAGGTCTGGTTATTTTCTATTTGTGTTAAACCGAAGACAAACTTTGTGTGGAATTCTTAATCTCCATGGCCGAGGCTTTCATGCAAGAGAGGATCCACCTGTTCTGTTACGGTTTTACACCCATCACTTGCGAACCCTGGTTTATGCTTCATCTAAAGTCTTGAGGTATGTGTTTATAAGCTTAAAGATCTTTGGTCTAATGCTCTTGAACCCTTCCTGTGAGAGATTTGATGGTGGCTTTGGAAGCTTGTCCAATGACCATTCTCCATCAAACTCTTCTGACGACTTCAAGCCATACACCCTCCACACCACTTCCAATTGCTATGTTTTGCCTAAGCTCAATTCCCACTATACGACAGCTCTAGCAAACAACTTCAAGCATCAGAGCACCTTCACCTTTGCTCGAACCCTTGTCAAAGCACTACTTCGTGTAGCTTTTCTCGTGCCGGCGAGAATCACGTCTTTGACCCCTTCATCAACGCCACTTCATCTCTTGACAATGGCCAATCGTTCATCCATTGACTTGCTCTTGGAAGAATCATCGATACTCTTTGATCTCACATGTACCAACAAGCTACCTAGCTTTTGGCTCAAAGCTCTCAAGGAACTTTTATCGATTAACCTTACCTATCTTTATATCTATCTTATGTTGTCTTTGGGGTATACCCTTTATTGTGGTGCTTTAAACTTTGGGAATTCAGTTTTCCTCTATCTCTGTACTTGGTTTCTACATTAATGGAATGAAAACAAGCTTTTGTTCAAAAAAAAAAAACTAGAGGGCTCTAGGATGGACCCTAGTTTTCAGCTAGTAGACCAAGCAACACTTAGTATTTATAAACACTCTAAATGCCAATATGCATACTTTTATGTTGATTGTATATCAAAATCTTTCTAGTTGTTGAAGCGTGTACCCGACTAGTCTTTATCTCTTCCTTTGCAGCTCCCATTCCTGCCTTAAAATGTTCTCATATCTCAACACTGATGTATTTATTGATTTATGCGGGTGTTTCAATAATATGTCTAAATTCAAAATATCATCGTCGTAAAAAAAAAAACACTATCATTGGCGAGGGTCAGATTAGTATAGCGACATTCCCCGTGAAAGAATTGTAGGGGGATTTGCATTATTCAAAAGAAAATCATAATAATAGTATAATGAAGAGAAAGAATTAACGTAAGAAAATTAGGATATAGTTGTTTACATAGAACTAGGGGAGGTCCCCGCGCCCAGCGCGGGGTTGTATGTTGATTAAGACCAGAATTAATAATTAATATTTAGGGTTATCAAGTTAGGGATAATTATTGAATTAATTTTGTCAAGAGTCTAATTTTTATAACGACATTAATATAGAATTATGGTAAAACGCTATAACTTTTGATATATATTATTAGTAATCAACAATTAATAGTGTTTTTGAATCACAAACAATTATTAGTGTTTATATCTTGATATATATAATAGAATTAAATATAAAAAATCTATATATTTAAACCAACAATATATTAGCAACGCCCCGACCGCCACTGTCCATGGGTTCCCACGTCCAGTCTCGGTCTTTAGGCCCATCTTCTTTGTTTTGTCGTACTCTTGATTTTATGACATATTCATGCTTACTCGTTTCTTTCATATTAGCAACGCCCCGACCGCCACTGTCCGTGGGCTCCCCACGTCCAGTTTCGGTCTTTAGGCCCATCTTCTTTGTTTTGTCGTACTCTTGATTTTATGACATATTCATGCTTACTCGTTTCTTTCATATTTGTAATGCCACGACCGCCACTGTCTGTGGGTTCCCACGTCCAGTTTCGTTCTTTGAGCACATCTTCTTGGTTTTGTAGTACTCTTGGTTTTATGACATATTTACGCTTCCTCGTTTCTTTCATATTTGTAACGCTCCGACCGCCACTGTCCGTGGGTTCCCCACGTCCAGTTTCGGACTTTAATTTGGGCCCATCTTCCTGGTTTTTGTTGTATTCTTGATTTTATGACATATTCATGCTTTTAGATTGTATGTCACTGGAGTTTTTCGTAGTTGGAAACAAATAATTGAAAAATATAATCTCTTACCATATCTCTTACCTATCAATTAAGTCATCTTGCTCTTTGAAGTAGTTATGTACGTAAAATTTCAATGGTATAGAAACAGGCATCTCCTTTGTATATATCGTGTCATATTTATCGTCCCTATTGTAGTATCTTTGTCTCTACCTTCGCCATTGGTCGCTGCGTAACCCTTCAGTTGATCTCTTGTTTATAAAACCCATATAAAAAGTTGTAAGAGAAATATCATTTTCTTAACTGTATCGTATATGTATTTGTAGTATATTGATCTGAGATTGAAAAGATGTATGCCAATCAAGAAGCTCTTAGCAAAGTAAACACTGAAGATAGGTACTAAAAATGAGAGGGTTACAGAGAGCAAGTATCTATCCCTTAGAAACCACTATGTGCAACTGAGAATAATTCATATATGTACATACATACACATGTATACAACGTATTGAAGCTTTTAAATTTAAATATCGAATGCTACAAAACTGGAAAATTGCTTGTGGAGAAAGCAATATGAACATGGCCACATATATAACAAATAACCGATTATGCTTGTCGTAGATCATTCTCTTTCAAACCAAAAGTTTTACCTAAACAACATATCAAGTGACTCACAAGAGATACATAAGAGCCATATCCTAAAAATATCCGGCAAAGCAAAAACGCTCCAGGTTCGAGAAGGAAGTCATTGGAAAATTTGAGTATATACCAAACTGGAGAGTAATTCGGCTACAAAGAGAGATGTGTTGGCTTTGAAGAAAAAGCTATGTGATGCTCTACCTTTTATTTATGAATTTTATGCTATGAATATATGTTTTTGTTAGGGTTCAACTTCAGTCTCCGGATTAGAGACTTATATTCATCCGACAAACAATTCGATGTCACAATCAACGCTACAAAATTGGTGGGTTCTCTCTATTAACAAACAAAAAAAAATTCTGGGGTATATATTTTTTTTTGTTTTGTTAGATCCATACGACGAAGAACATGACGAAGAACACCAAAAATTCTCATCAATCCGGTACGTTTGATCTTATTTTTATTAGTTTAACAATTACGGTTATGTCCGAATCTGAAATAACCATGGCTCCAGACTCCTTCACACCATGGCCACATATCACCGGAGTGGAGACGATTTCAAATTCGGAGCTTCTCTTCGCATATAAAATCATACATATGGTCTCTTTGTTTCGGGTTCCCTCTACAATAATTAGTACATATTTCAAAACTGAGCTACAAAAGAGCACATTGGATTTTGGTAAACATCAAGATTGCTTCCTACCTTCCAAGAAACATGATAGACTAATTCACATCCAAGACCAAACATTAGCCACATAAAGCCTGAATCAAATTAAACGATCTTAGGATGCTCTTCATAATCCGTAAGTTAAAGAGACTTGCATTAATATTGCAAATTAGACTCTAGAGGTCCACAATGGTTAATCAGAGTGTATCAAAGACGACGAATAAAGCATGAATTAGAATATCAGCAGAGGAAGCACACAAATATTCAATAAACGTAATTAATCACTGAGAATAGCATGGACCCAACTTTTGAAAGATTCATAAAAAAGGAAGATTTTTTCTATGCAACAATATTCAAACAATGAGAAGATCAATGATTGATGACTAACCATACAACCGAAGCAAAGCCATAAACAGAAACGAAAGTACTAAAGAGCCACAACAGCAGTGATACGACATTTGTTTCCTCGCACTGGAAACAATGACGTGCTTCCATAAATCCAATCTAGTTTTTATGGAAAACAAACCTGCATTCATAATAAACACTACTATTAATTATTATTTTTTATGCAAGAATTAAATGGCAGTATAAAAAATTCAATGGTTAGTGCCGAAAGAAAAAAGCAAGGATTAGTTATGATATCAAATAAAAATTAAATATCAAGCAAGGTATTTACATAAAATTAAGGCAGTGGAGGATCTAAGAATTTTTTTTTTGACAATATCTACAACTAAACAAAGAAAATTTATATATTTTTAAAACAGAATCATTATTTGTTTTTTGGTAAGATTAAAACCGAATCATTATCATATTAGTAAAATTATCATTTATTTATTATTATCCACGTTAATTTAAAAGTTTAAGAGAATATCTGCTTTTTTCTCATAAAAGGATGGAATAATAACATAACTCTTTTAGATTTATAACTATATTTGACATTATCATATTAAATCTATTAAGATAAATATATTTCTTTTTGAAAATATAAATAAAATGATAATATAATTATTATAGATTTACAATTATATTATTATCCATGTCAAAATTTTAAAACATTTTACTTTTTTCTCACATAGGAAGATAGAACAATAACGTAACAGTTTAAGATTTACAACATAAAAATAATATCAGAATTGGAACGCCAAATCATAATCAACACAATTAACACAACTCTAATGGGAAATTAGAGTTATCTTGTGATTAAAATACTAAACAAACAAAACTAACCGAAACAAAACAAAAGTCTTCCTTTCAAAATCATTAACGTGACGGATTGCTGACTGATTAAGTTGAAGTTTTAGGCATTTAAAGATCTAGAAAGATGATTAAGGTTAAGCATTTTTATTTATTTTAAACAACGTTTGAATGTTGACAAAAAAAGAAGAAGAGAGTGTTGGGACCATCGGGAGAGACAACGTTGAGCAGCTACGAAAGAAGCCAACGTTGTCTATTATGTTCCTCACATTGTTTGATTTGACTTTTGATGACATTACACTCCTGTCCACTTGTTGTCTCGAAAGTTCATGCAATGGAAAATTATTAAACAAAACAATTTACTTTTATGTATAAATCCTAGGGAAGAACCGATCAAGCTAAGATCAATGGTTGTGGTTTTAGTACCGTATACTTCTCAAATATACCCGTTGAATAACGGAAATCCGCAAGACGGGGAGGAGACGAAGTCAACCTAGCTGGCAAAGGAGCTAACCCAGCTCCTTTGGTCTTATTTATGATCATATGTATTTAGCAAAATATGGTATACAAACCGAACCAATCAACAACAAAACCTGGTTTTAAATTGTTGTATATTTCTCAAAAGTCAAAACCCATAATAACCAATGGAACAGAAGAAGCTAATGCAGAGCATACTTACGCTTGGAGTAAAGAGTGATGCAAGCTTCCATTGGCACACCCGAAAACGCATCAGAGCATGGAAAGAAACCTAAAAACCAATAAATTAAACAATAATTAAATATTAGTGCATGGAAAACGAATCCTATACATACCAAAGTCCGAATCTCAGTGCCTTAGAATGACCTCGATACCAAAAACTTTAAGTTACTACTTCCATATATGTAATATTTTAGTTTGGAGAGAGAGATTGGCAACAAAGAGTAATTCCTGAATTTAACAGACAAGTTTGTTATCCCTAATCTTAAGAGAGGAATACTTAAATTGTATTAACGACAAAAATTAGCCTCCTCTGAAGATTCATCCCTGAAATAAGTCATCTTTCTGACTTTGTGGCAACTGTGTTATCAAAAGTTGAGTGTTTCTTCTGAAAAAGACATATTTGAAAATAATAAGAACATGTACCTCAATAAAATCGGGAGGTACCTCATCTTTTTACAACAAAAAGAAACATATCAAACCATCGATGATTACCTTCTCAAAAGTTGAAACCAAACTTTTTGATTATAAAAATTGATTAGTGGTGAAAATAGTGAAACCATAAATACAAAAAAAAAAAAAAAAT